CAATAAAAATATCGGTATCGGTACTCGGTATCGGCAAGTACCAAAAATAAAAGTATCGTATCGGGCGAGTACTGGAAAAAGTGGTATCGGTGCATCCCTAATAATAATAATTATTATTATTACGTGTTTATTAAGTAACTTCAGTTGTTGTGTTATATGTGTTTAAACTATAATAATAAAATAAACTTTTCGGTGAAAAGTTTAGAAATGTTTCCTTGGCTGAACTGAAATAAAATAAGTTTAAGCTGATGTTCTACAACTGAAATAAAAATAATTTAAAGCTGAATAGAAATTTAACAAAAAAACGACAATGACAAGCACATAAAATTACTAAAGTTTAAACTATATTTAAAATGAAAACCGAAAATATCAAACTAAAAGCTCATTTAAAATATTATAATAGTATTATATAATATTATAATACTATGTAAGTAATACTAAATAACAAAAAATAGTATTCATATGTTTAAAAGGTTGCTTCAGATGTTCTATGATATGTGTTTTAAAATATAATAATAACATAATAGAAGAAAATTAAAAAATGTTTTCTTGGCAACTAACTGAAATAAAGTAAGGTTATTGTTCAAACTAAAACTGAAATGCAAATGATTTCAAGCTTAATAGAAATATAAAAAATCTAATAAATGACAAAAGCACAACAACATTTCTAAAAATTTAAATTTAAACTGAAAGTATATAAGTAAAAGCTAATTCAAAACATTACATACTATAATAGTATAGAATTAATATTAAAACAACAAAAATTATTATTACAAATTTAGTTTGTTGCTTTGGTTTTTGTTCCATATGCGTTTTAAAATACACTTGACATTTTCACTACATCAACAAATGATGCAAATGATGAATAAATGGGAATAGCTAAGAGATTAGGCTCCAAGGATTTTGGGGTCCAAGAGGGATATGAGGGATATGATCACAGAAATTCAACTGATTGTCTGTGTTTCTTGCTCGTTCCCTCAGGTATCGAGATGTTCCATCAGTCTCTAGAACGGGCGGAGGCAGGCGATAACATGGGCGCTCTGGTTCGCGGTCTGAAGAGGGAGGACGTCAGGAGAGGCATGGTGATGTGCAAACCGGGATCCATCCAGCCACACCAGAAGGTCAAAGCTCAGGTGTGTGAATTGTAAAACCATAAACAGCAGTTCAGCAGCTCTGTGCTACTTCACAAGCCAATCAATCATTTAAACTCTGTCTTCAGGTCTACCTCCTGAGCAAAGAGGAGGGCGGCAGACACAAGCCGTTCTGCACAAACTTCATGCCGATCATGTTCTCTCACACCTGGGACATGGCTTGTATAGTAGAGCTGCTTCCGGGGAAGGTACGTTTTAGCTGTGCAAATACTGAATATATCAGCACCAGAAATATTTGCTCTAAATTCTCTCTGTCTCTTGTCTTGATAGGAGATGGTGATGCCGGGAGAGGACGCGTCTCTGATCCTGGCCCTCAGACAGCCCATGGCTCTTGACAGAGGCCAAAGGTTCACACTCAGAGACGGCAACCAAACCATCGGCACGGGACTGGTCACAGAAATCCTCCCCATGACAGAGGACAACAAATACAACTGGGGCTGAGAAAGATGACAGGAAAAGAGGAAACTCTTTGAGACTCTGGTGTCCGAAGCCTTTTTGGACTGAAGTTCTAGAAATGTCACTCTAGAATTGAATTGTGGCCCTGTTTATATTGCAAAATTAAATCTGTTTGCTAAGGAGGATGTCTTTGTCCTGATTGCTGATGTCTTTGCAAACCCTTAAAAATGTGCCCACCAATTTTCTACATGAAGAAGCAAGTAACGTATCACTCAGATTAGAAATGTGGAACAATTTGCGTCCATTTCAGCACGTCACAATGTTCGAAACATGCTCTGCTTTCATTATCCTCTGTCTCATCTCAGCTGTCAATTATTCACAAAGGGAAAACCAGTACATTTGAGGAAAGTTTCCAAATGTAAACTGTACTTGGCTTGTCATTCCATGCTGCTCATCTACAGAAACACATTGTGCTCTTTTGCTGTCTGTTTTCCGGTCATCTGTCTAAAAAATGTAATAAAATGTATTCAATAGATCTGTAGACTCAGCCTTGTGTCTGCTTTGCATTTAACCACCTTTCAACGAGAAAAAAATGTAGTGATCATTTGTTCATTTAGGGCTATTATATATTTTTGAGGTGGTGTCAAACATATGTTGTAACACTGAGAAGCCAGTTTTTCGAATGTTCAAGTTATTGCTTTAAAGTGCGATGTTTAAATCTAAACATTTGAGTGTAGTGGTGAATGATTGTGTGTAAGAAGGCAAAATTATGAAAAAGCTAGGTCTGTTCTGAATCTGTTTGAATTTGCTTTTCGACAGTAAACTCATTCATGAAGTCTCTAGTGTTTTAAAATATAATAATAACATAATAGAAGAAAATTAAAAAATGTTTTCTTGGCAACTAACTGAAATAAAGTAAGGTTATTGTTCAAACTAAAACTGAAATGCAAATGATTTCAAGCTTAATAGAAATATAAAAAATCTAATAAATGACAAAAGCACAACAACATTTCTAAAAATTTAAATTTAAACTGAAAGTATATAAGTAAAAGCTAATTCAAAACATTACATACTATAATAGTATAGAATTAATATTAAAACAACAAAAATTATTATTACAAATTTAGTTTGTTGCTTTGGTTTTTGTTCCATATGCGTTTTAAAATACACTTGACATTTTCACTACATCAACAAATGATGAGGATTTCTCATAAATGGGAATAGCTAAGAGATTAGGCTCCAAGGATTTTGGGGTCCAAGAGGGATATGATTCGGCTTTACACAGAAATTCAACTGATTGTCTGTGTTTCTTGCTCGTTCCCTCAGGTATCGAGATGTTCCATCAGTCTCTAGAACGGGCGGAGGCAGGCGATAACATGGGCGCTCTGGTTCGCGGTCTGAAGAGGGAGGACGTCAGGAGAGGCATGGTGATGTGCAAACCGGGATCCATCCAGCCACACCAGAAGGTCAAAGCTCAGGTGTGTGAATTGTAAAACCATAAACAGCAGTTCAGCAGCTCTGTGCTACTTCACAAGCCAATCAATCATTTAAACTCTGTCTTCAGGTCTACCTCCTGAGCAAAGAGGAGGGCGGCAGACACAAGCCGTTCTGCACAAACTTCATGCCGATCATGTTCTCTCACACCTGGGACATGGCTTGTATAGTAGAGCTGCTTCCGGGGAAGGTACGTTTTAGCTGTGCAAATACTGAATATATCAGCACCAGAAATATTTGCTCTAAATTCTCTCTGTCTCTTGTCTTGATAGGAGATGGTGATGCCGGGAGAGGACGCGTCTCTGATCCTGGCCCTCAGACAGCCCATGGCTCTTGACAGAGGCCAAAGGTTCACACTCAGAGACGGCAACCAAACCATCGGCACGGGACTGGTCACAGAAATCCTCCCCATGACAGAGGACAACAAATACAACTGGGGCTGAGAAAGATGACAGGAAAAGAGGAAACTCTTTGAGACTCTGGTGTCCGAAGCCTTTTTGGACTGAAGTTCTAGAAATGTCACTCTAGAATTGAATTGTGGCCCTGTTTATATTGCAAAATTAAATCTGTTTGCTAAGGAGGATGTCTTTGTCCTGATTGCTGATGTCTTTGCAAACCCTTAAAAATGTGCCCACCAATTTTCTACATGAAGAAGCAAGTAACGTATCACTCAGATTAGAAATGTGGAACAATTTGCGTCCATTTCAGCACGTCACAATGTTCGAAACATGCTCTGCTTTCATTATCCTCTGTCTCATCTCAGCTGTCAATTATTCACAAAGGGAAAACCAGTACATTTGAGGAAAGTTTCCAAATGTAAACTGTACTTGGCTTGTCATTCCATGCTGCTCATCTACAGAAACACATTGTGCTCTTTTGCTGTCTGTTTTCCGGTCATCTGTCTAAAAAATGTAATAAAATGTATTCAATAGATCTGTAGACTCAGCCTTGTGTCTGCTTTGCATTTAACCACCTTTCAACGAGAAAAAAATGTAGTGATCATTTGTTCATTTAGGGCTATTATATATTTTTGAGGTGGTGTCAAACATATGTTGTAACACTGAGAAGCCAGTTTTTCGAATGTTCAAGTTATTGCTTTAAAGTGCGATGTTTAAATCTAAACATTTGAGTGTAGTGGTGAATGATTGTGTGTAAGAAGGCAAAATTATGAAAAAGCTAGGTCTGTTCTGAATCTGTTTGAATTTGCTTTTCGACAGTAAACTCATTCATGAAGTCTCTATTATGACATTTACTTGAATATTATTACAGCAATAAAACGATAAACAATGTTCAGGAAGTTCTTGACGATTGCAACCCAGATGGTGAATTTCACAAAGAAACGTCATGGTCATATATTAAAACTGAGACTTCAAACTAAATTACATTAAAAAAATTACTACTGTGATGTAATTTCATATAAATATGAAAAATCATATAAATGTGTAATTAATTCAAATTAATTTCATATATGTAAAATGTTACTATTCAAATAATTGCATTAATTATTTAGAAGTAATACATTTAAATAATGAATTTAAATTTTGAAGTAATATATGACTAGGACATTTCTTGACATTTTTGTGATATTTACCAGTTTATCTCTAAATACAATATACATTTTTCTCCACCCAGATCGCATCAGCTAAAAGCAGTTTGAACAGAACATCTTAAAAGCAAATAGGTATTTTAGTGTAGGCCTATTTTTGCGACTTTGGAGCCCCCTATAGTTAATTAAGTGGATTTCACTGTTGCAAATATACCAGTCATAATGGCTGTTCACGTGCATTTGTTGCTGCCGTAAAGCAAACCGCCCGTTTCGCGGAAATTCGTACCCGCTCACCAAACGTACAAACACCCAGAACAGACGCTTAAGGGGGCCAAAAGAAAGAATCAGAAGGCAAAAACTGATATTTCAAGGTAAAAAAAAAAAAATGTGCGAGAGGAAATTCGCAACCTTTTAAAATTCTGCCATGCGAAATTTCGAGTGAAATTCAGGATTTGATTGGATAGTGAAACGTGGGTTGTGTGTCATTATTTCTATGCAGTGATGAATTGTGCCCTACAAGTCTATGAAGCAAGTAAATAAACCATTTTGATTTCAAGTTCAAGGTTGTTTTTGATGTATACAATTATATAATTGATATAGGCTATTTATTATCTAAGCTGTCATCCAGTAGCTGCTCTCCAAGGTTTAAATTTTAAAAAGAAACTCTCAGTTCTCTCTTTTAATTGCAATTTGACTGCTGTTGTCCATTTCTCTGCATCTCTTTCATTCACACTGTCTTCCTCCATCCATCTCTGTCTGAAACGAGACTGGGATTCCATTCATCTGCTCGTATGAATCTGAAACAAGCGTTTACACACACTTAATCACATGTAAAGAGACACACATGTCTTCAACATATAACACATAAAAAACACTCACTCACCGTCCTCCGTGGTGCCATGGGCTGCTGTGGCATGTCTTCAACATATAACATAAAAAACACTCACTCACCGTCCTCCGTGGTGCCATGGGCTGCTGTGAAGTCTGTTGTTATATAGACAGTCTGGCCCTGTCATCATTTCATACGACTCTGGAAGGAAAGAAAATGACAGTTCGTACAGTATTTCATACCGTACATGTGCATATAATCACACAGTGAAATCTTTACCAGTGTCTGTGTGGTCCAGAGCAAGATCTTGTTTCCATCTTCATCAGGATTGTTGTAGTCTATGGCATATTTAAGAGAGATTACCACACATTCATTTGTCTAATATATATTAAAGTTAATAGCATATCAGATCCACGTGTTTGATCCCTCACCCTGGTCTTCAGAGGCGTGTCGGAGTTTCAGTGTCTGTTTGCGAGGTTGAGCATATAAACACCCCTCCATATCCTCATACGACTCTCCATCTGGAGAGAAATCAAAACAGACCCCAAATACAACTCGGGTCATGTCCTTTTCTTCAGGACTCCAGTCTAAACTACATTAAGAACTTCATATAGAGGAGCTTTAATAAGCAGTCAAAGCTTTGGAATATATAGTGATCATGTTTATTAATTAGGAACAAATATGCTATGAACAATTTCAGACCATTTTTTGCCAGTGTCCTCTGTAGAGCTGTATAATACAGGGTTATTATCTTTAGCTAAATCTAAAAGTTTTGCTAATTGAAATAAATCCAATAAATAAATATAGAAATATTGGATGAAAAACCTAAACGAAAAGAAAATGAGAAATGTCAGTTGAAGCATTAAATAAAAAAGTTAAAAATTAAACTTAAGTTGAATATAAGTATGAATTAAACCTAAATAGTAATATTTAAAAATAATAATAAAAATTATTAAAAATCAACCTAAAATTCAACTATGCTTTGCAGTGTACTGAATGTAATATTTTATATATAAAAATGTATATAAAGTATTGTATTCTCACTCACCCGTCTCTGTCAAATTGCTAGGCAGTTGTAGAGTGTTGTGATGTTCCTGTGGCCCCGCCACTTCCTCTTCCCCGATTGCATCTGGGTTAAGATAATCTAAAACCAACAACCATTTAATTGCACAGTAAAACCACTCACATAATTACTGTTGATCAGGATATACCTTCATCTGCAGAAACATAGTATGCGACTTTGTCTTGATTGCTGTAGATAGCTGCTTCTACATTCTCATATGATCTGTCGAAACAAACAACAAAATAGTGACTGTGCTTTTTAGGGTTTATTTTTGTGGCATTTCAATCGTCTTTTTCATAGAGATATTATGTTGAAAACTATGATTTGAGATTTGAACACTCACTGTAGTATTTTACCCTTCTTGTTGTTTTCAGCGCTCTCCATATACCTCGGAGTACCGCTCTCAATGTACCTGTGACAACACACACATTCAAAAACATGAAATAACCATCTTCTTTAATTGTAAGTTTCCAGGACAAAAATGAAGGGCATGGCTTGATTTAATAGTAACAGTAAAAGTTCACCCAAAAATGAAAATAAGCTGAAAATTTACTCACCCGCAGGTCATCCAAGATGTAGATGAGTTTCTTTGTTCATCAGAACAGATTCATAGAAATGTAGCATTACATCAGTTGCTCATCAATAGATCCTCTGCAGTGAATGGGTGCCGTCAGAATGAGAGTCCAAACAGATGATTAAAACATCACAATAATCCACACCACTCCAGTCCATCAGTTAATGTGAAGCCAAAAGCTGTGTGTTTGTAAGAAACAAATACATCATTAAATTGTTTTTAACTTTAAACCTTTGCTTATGCAAATATGTTAATATTGTGATGTTTTAATCAGCTGTTTGGACTCTCATTCTGACGGCCCCCATTCACTGCAGAGGATCTATTGGTGAGTGATGAAATGCTAAATTTCTCCAGATCACTTCCAATGAAGAAACAAACTCATCTACATCTTGGATGGCCTGAGGGTGAGTACATTTTCAACCAATTTTATTAAAATGTATTAAGTTATTTCTGATAAAAGTGTACATTTTGGCAAACATTTACCCATTTTACACAGAAAGAGGTATTGGAAAACCCAATGTCGGTGTACGTGGCAAAATGTCCATTTGTGTTTGTCCTCTGCTTTGTGGGCACTGCAAGAAAAATGTGTTTGTTTAGATCATCAATCTAATATATTCAGTCAGCATGAAGTGTGTGTTGAGTATTTCTCTGCGTCAGTGTGTGTATGTGTTTGGGTGAGTTTACACTGTTCCTGCGCCGTTGTGTTTTGCAGATGTACGTGAACAGAACAATCCCAATCAGAAAGGCTGACGCAGGAACTGTGTAGAGTTACCAATCAGGTCGAGATGCTAAACGCAACACACACAAATAAATGAATAAGTGAATCAGCATCTGATTTATAATGACGTAATGCTACACACAAACATACCTGTGTTATACGAGAGGTTTTTGAATGCTCCGAGATTAGGTTTGCTGTGGGACACATCGTCAAACGTGGTTGTGAATGTGATAACTTCTTTGTAGCCTGTGGACATGTATGAATGGACTTTCTTTAGAGTTGAAAGTTCACTTCATCATGCTGGTTTATATAAATTTACACAGGTGATATAATCAGACACCATGTACACATGACAGACAAAAAAAACTCACTGTAAAAATGTTTTTTTCTTTTTCAAAGTTGTAATTAAAATAAAGAGTATTGGAGTACATTTTACAAGAAAATACTATTTCAGTCTTTCTTCCTCAAAATGTCATGTTTAATCAAATCTTGTAATTTCCTTCTAACTATTTATGAAATTTACTAGCAATTTCTGAGTGAAAACGGTTTCAAAATAAATCCATTTTTTCAGTATACTATCTGAATCAGTTAATTAATGTGTAATAGATTACACCAAGAAAAACAAGAAAATAATATTAGAAACAATTCTCAGAAACATCAGGTCACTATCTGTTTCACAGGAGCTGCTGAAACAGTTCTACTCCGCCATCATTGAATCCATCCTCTGCACTTCAATAACTGTCTGGTTCAGCTCAGCTACCAAATCTGACCTCAGAAGACTTCAGAGGGTAGTCCGGACTGCTGAGCGAATCATTGGTACAACCCTCCCTTCTCTCCAAGAACTGAACTTATCCAGAGTGAGCAAAAGGGCTGGCAGAATCACTCTGGACCCCTCACATCCAGCACACTCCCTCTTTGAACTGTTGCCATCTGGTCGACGCTACAGAGCACTGAGCACCAGAACGACCAGACACAGGAACAGTTTCTTCCCTCAGGCCATCCATCTCATGAACACTTAACAATAACTGTGGAACACACACTATTTATTCACTCATACACTTATTTATCTAACACTCATACTCAGTCTACACTAGTGTTGTCACGGTACCAACATTTCAGTATTCAGTACCAATACCAGTGAAAATCCACGGTTCTCGGTACCAATTTCGGTACCAAAGCAAAACACAAAAACATGCTAA